ATTCCTGCATTTATCTCAAAATGAAGAACATTTATAATTCATAGGTAGTGACCAAAAGTCTATTTCCTGGGTCAGTTTTACATTTAAACATATGAACCCACAGAAGATATTTATAGGAATGAAATATATACACAAATTAGTATAATTATCACCTTTGTTAATAAGAACATCACATGTTAAACCCGGATGTCCCTCCCTTCCATACTCAACAGCTCTCAGTTCTAAAAGAGCAGAAACAAAAGGGGTTGAAATATCTACTTCCCCACACACACTGCCCACGAACAAGGGGCAATTACATCCCTCCCCTGCTCTTTTGACTGTTCTCCAGCTGAGTCACACTTTGTCCAATCCTTTGTCCAACAAAAGAAAACTAAACAACATCAGCAAACGCCTTGTCAGCCTCCAAATACAAGCTAGTTGCCTCTTCACTTTCTATCTCAGTTTTCAAGTAACTCTTATGTCTTTGGACAAAGCTTTAAATTATCTTTACAAGCAGGTCACACTGCATCTTAGACCTCCCTTCTCTTTAGATTTAGGCCAGACCCCGTTGCATTCAGATAAAGCTTCTTTTAAGAACTGTAGAGAGTGTATAAGGATTCATTCCTACCTCCCATCAATATTTTCTTATCCACACCTAGAACATTGCTGAACAAAACTTACCTTTTGTGTCTTTTCCAACATTTAAATCAGCTGCTTTTCTTAGTTTCTTTTTGAGTCTTCTCCAAACTGAGTTTTGAGGCTTTGAAGTCAAAACTGAGTTTGAGTTTTCTTTTCTGCAGAAAATCCTCAAACCCTCCTCTGCTTTTTGTTCCATCTGTGCCTTCTTGCTCCCCACAGGTGAACACATTTACTAGAGATTGGGTCAACCCAGAGGTTCAGGTAATGTATTAAATATAGAGGCCCTAGTTAACTCCTTCTGAATCATTAGAAGATCTACATACTGTTTTACTATGCTCCTAAGCTAGAGTAAAATTTTTTACAAGAAGTTCCAATATAGTCCAACTATCATAAACTTCAATATTGAAGAAATATAAACAAATTAGTATCATTATAATCTTGAGATAAGCTCAAACGGTTTTCCAAATACAAGTATGATCATCTCTACTAGTGAAATAAAGGAACTGATCTGCGAAATACTTAAAGCCTGGAACCAAGATTCTGGGCTATTGCAAAACTCTTTTTCATACATGTACAACACAATGCATGCAAAGATATCACAGCTGAAGTCCCCAAAGTAGGATCATATCAAGCCTCAGACCAAAAAGCCCTGCCACTCAGTTGAGCTAATTAGCTTGGAGATAGGAGTGTATTTGCTGTTTTCCTTCTAGTCTGTAATTAGCATGACACTCACACGCCCAACTCCCCTCCAGTTCAATGAGAAACATTTTGTAAGATGGTAATGTCTACCAAAGGCAAGTTTCAGAGCAAGGACAGCACTTGGTCTTGCTTGACTCCAGGTCTCCTACCCTCTCTGAAGAAGAGTATCTGATAGCTTTTAATAATGCATGTACTCTATTTTTAAAATAGTATTTCCAGTTTCCATTTTAATTCATATTGATAAATTCCATATTTCCCAGAGAAAAAGAATAATGTGAAGAAAGGTGTGAAAAAAAGCTTCTCTATAGAGCTTTAAGATTTCCTTCCCATTCTCTCTCACAGAGATTACACATCTTGCATGGACAGAACTTTGGTCCTCAGATTGTAAGAACATTAGTCAACTAGCAAGAGACAGTCTCATTTTTGGGGAAGGCACTGTGTTTTTGACCATAATGCAGCATCCATTCTTCCACCCTTCTGCCACTTATTTAATGTAGGAGTGGGGAACAATTCTCTCAGGGCAGCTAAGTGTTTACAATTATTAACTTTGGAGGACCACATATTAAAATACACTGTAACATTATTAATGTGAAAGATAAATGATGACTCATCATTACTGTACTCATCTTGAGCTCATGCTTTTCTTCCCTCTACTCAGAGATGTTATCAGCTCACAGTATGCATGTGCATAACAGAGAGCTGTCTTTCTACTCACCTGCAAGTCATTTTGAAACGCCTCATTTGACCGTAAACCATATAAATGAAGTTCCAGACCACATCTGGCCCATAGGCTGTAGTTTCATCTGCTCTGCTAGGGGAAACGTGTTTCACTCCAAGAGCAGCCAGAGGCACAGTATCAGAAATGAGTGTTGCACAGAAGTGGTGTTTGCGTTGTGTATGACAAAATACTAAATAAACCTAGGAGAGAGATGTTGGGCAGAGAACTCTGGCAGCAGTTAATTGCTATTCCTCTTTTTGTCTTGCCATTTAAACATAAAAAGGGTATTTAAAACAAATACGCTGTCAAAATGGATTGAGTATGAAGTTATTCCCCATTACAAGAGAAGCAATATTATACTTACTGAGGCAGCAATGAATCTCTAATGAGAGACAGAAGCTTGCTGTTTGAGTCAAGGCTCTCCCCTTTCTCCTCAGCCATGACCTCGTGGCTTAAAAGCAGTGATGTGGTTTCTGAGAGCAACCGCAAGCTGAAGAGTCTCCATTCCACTTGAAAATAAAGGTGCCAAGAATGTGACTACATTGAAGTCTAATTAAAACAAAATGTGGAATTCATGGAAACTGTAGTTGATGTGGCCATATACTTACCATTCTGACTGTGGACCAAAGAAACTAGTGGTGGGAGGATACAGTCTTCAACCTAAAACAGAGAATTAGAAAGATCTGGCTTAGATTATTCACAGGGGAAAAAAAATACAACAGAGATACATTATCATCTATGTTTATTCCACTGCTAAAGCCCTTAATCAAAGAGATGAATAAACATGGAAATTCCTCCATAATCAGACTTATAAAATCACCAAGTCCACTTCTCTCTGGTAAGCCATCATAAAAGTTAGACAGTAATGTACATTTATATAGAAAACTACAGTAACTTTGGTATAGTTCTTTGACAATTAATTTAAATTTAAAATACAGAATTCAGTGCAGATGTAAGATATCAAGAAACAAGATCACTATAATATCTATTAATCCTGATGCTCTAATCCGTAAACTAATCACCAAATAGTCAAACCTGCATAGAACTAAAATACATCAGGAAAGATGTACTACCTCTAGTGAAATATCCTTAAGCTCAGTAGAGAGTCCTGATAAAATTTCAACTTCTTCCATTCTGGTAATACACAGTTTTCCACTAAAAATTAAATTTACAGACTTAAGATTTGAAATATGAAAAAAAAAAACCCAAAGTCAACTCTTTATTGTCCATGAGTGTATTGTTACAGATTAATCAGCTGTCACAGGACTAGTCAGCTTAGCTCTGTCTAAAATCAGCTTATGGCAAACTAGGCTATAGCTCAGTTTTATATATCTAATATTACAAAAACAGTGTATTATTAGTATTCTCTATAACAGAATGAACTGCTAAGTCTTAAGTCATTGTTAAAATACAATTTATTTAGACAGGACATGCTTCGGTTTTGGGGAGAGGATGGATGGACGGCCCTACATTTTTTAAGTATGCATCATGGATACACAGCCTGTCCTTGGAGTTATTTATATAAATAAAATCACTGTGTTGGTTCTCACCATGCAGTGGACAGGATTTGGTGTAAAAAGACTGCATTATAATTCCCCTTGTGTTTTCCTCTTGTGACTAATACTAGAGGATAGAATTTCTCTCGATCTATGCAGCTACTATTAAGAAACACCTATAGAAGTTGAAAGTATATATGAAAATGGGTCACCAAACGAAGTTAGCCTGTAGTCTGCAAAAACCACAATTAGCAACTATTCTATTGTTAGCTGACGGTCTCTGTTAAATGAATCTCTGGCATTAAAGATTAATTTAGTCTAGCTTTTTTTCACTTCTGAAAAAACTACCAAAAAGATGCCTTCATTACATACTTTCGTTAAAAGAAGTAAAGGACTCTGCTTGAGATACGGAAGTCAAACTATTCTTGCAAGTACAAGTAGCCTTTATGCCTATATAGATAATGCTGTATATCACAGATGTAGTTCCTTTTGTAACAATTCATAATTTTGAAATATTTCATCGTCTTTTCCGTTAATACGCAGTCAGAAACATAATAAAAATCCATTGCACTCCAACAACTCCCTTAGCACAAGTTTCTCTGGCAAACTGTTTAGAATGGAATTCTTCATAACAGGTGTTTGCCTAATGTCAGTTCAGTGTGGTGGGGAGATCACCTAAATGAAGCACTAACATTTTTTTGTGACACAAGAGCATATCAAAATGCACATGCTGAAGGGAGAAGCAAGTATTAAATTGTACATGAACCTTAAATCAGATTCTTCCTAACTCTGCAACCCCCATCTTCTCTTCTTGCCACTTGAGTCACTGATTTTTTTATTAACCTCTACACAAATTTGTAAACAAGATATGAACTAAGCAAATAATTATTGAGGTGAAATAAACAGAAGTGTAATAGTGCATAAAATATGTTCAACAAATTCACCAGTGAATTGCACAAGTTTCTGTAAGTTGTATACTTCTGTAAGTATGTATACGAAAGCATGGTATTAGTACCTTGGCATTTCCTAGAGGGATCAAAACAAACAGAATACTCAAACTAGGACTCATCTTTTCTTTTAAGTGACTGCTGACATCTACGTGGAATCATATCTCCACATATGCATGAAGGTAGTCAGCTACTTTTCTTGTTTCAGTCTTTATCACTACAATTGCTTACAAAAAAAAGGAAATACTCTTCTTTAAGCCGAAACAGACTGGATAGTTTGAACATGATCCTAGCTATATCTGGGTTTCTACTATCTTTTAAATAGCCTGACATCCAGTTCATGATAAATCCCTAACTGCAGAAAGCCACCACTGTATAATTCTGTAATGATGGCATTCAACGGCTATGCTGCCGCAACTATGCTGTTATCAGTACACAAAATAGCAATGAAATACTAGAAACTTCCATACACACTGCATTCACATCGGCCAGCTATAATACACATGCACAGGACCAAACAAAAATGTAACAAACATGATAATCCTGTTTCTGACAATTGGAAAGAAGTAGAAAAACAGTAGGAGAAACAAACCAAGCATAAAGCACACTTCTGGTTTCTAGTAAAGTAACTCTTCAGTTAAGAAACTTCCTAAGCTGACGCTGTATCTGTATTTTTGCATTTAGTAATGCTTACTATCCTTTTCTCCCATACATTTGTCCAATCCTATCTTAAATGTATTTATACTTTTAGCATGTGCAATACCTATGGCACTGAACTCCACACTCCAATAATGCCTTATCAAAAGGCAGTCCCTTGTTTTATTTTAAAGCACCTAACTTGACATCCACTAATTCTTATCTTATGAAAACTATGAATAATTATTTCCAATTCACCTTTCCCATGCCATTCCTAACTTTACACTCTCAACTCCTCTGTTTCCAAGCTGAAGTTCTTATCTACTCAGTCCCTGCTCACATCATTGAGCTGTACTTTTTCTTGTTAAGCTTCATTTCGTTGGAGAGTGAATGACCAGAACTGCATTCAGTATTCAAGGCTTGAGGGCACCATGGACTTAGCATGACATAGTGATGTTTTTTGCTTTCTTGTCTGATCTTTTACCAATCATTTCTAATAATCTAGTTGTCTTTCTGACTTCTGCTGAGTATAAAGCTATCATTTTCATAGAAAAACTATGCTAAAAGATCTCCAGAACAGCTACAAATAGTTTAGAGTCTGATACTGCATATGAATAGTTGGAATGATTTTCCCTATGTGCATGGCTTGACATTTATCAGTATTGAATTGCATGTCATTTTATTGTCCTTTCATTCAATATCTTCAAACCTTCTGCAACTCTTCTGCCAGTTTTAATTTTCACTACTGTGAATAATTCAGTGTCATCAGTTTGTTCTGTCATCTCCCTATTCATTCTCTTTTCTGGATTAGTTATAAATAGCACATGTTGCAACACAGATCTTTGTAACACACCATTCTTAATATACCTAAATTTTTTAAAACTGATGTATACTCTCTACTTAGTAAATTTTAACTAGTTAGAAGAAGTTGATCTGTCAGAAGGTAGGAAGGAAGGACAACTGATGGATTTGAAGAATCTTTGGTGTATGACTTTGTGAAAAACTTTTTGGAAATCCAAGTATACTATCTAAAACCAGAACACCTGTCTCCATTACTTTCACTGATTTCTGCAAGGAAAACTCTACTAGTGAGGTATGAGCACCCAGCAAAATGTGTACTCTCTTTTCTGCAGTATTTTATTACCTACAAAAAACAGATCTTTAGAAAACAGGGCACAATTTTTAAAGAAATTCTTCTGCAAAGTCTGTATATTACTTGAAAGCTCAAAAGAGAAAGAGACAAGCCAGTTTCAGAGTAATTAAGTATTCATCAGCTACTGGGAGAGGCTTTGAAGAGACAACTGTAATTTCAGTCCTTCCCTGCTTGTCTCCACTGCTCAGGAGATTTCAGCCACAAGGCCTGCACCCTAAAAATGTGTGCCTGCTTTGCTAGAAACAAACGATGCCTCAGCTTTACTTAATTTCACCAAGTAGAGCCCAAGTTCCACAAGTACCCACTAAAAAGCAGTTATAACACTGCGAGGGCTCACAGTGGAAGGATCCAATACACTATATCCCTATCTAGCAGGAGGTGCCCTAAGAATGATGATGGAGAACTAAACTTTCATTCACTTGTGCTAGTCAGGAAGGATGAATTCAGCTATTCAATATAGACGTACAACCATCATATACTAAGGAACTAGCACATAACCAAACTTAGCTGTTACTCCCTACAACTTAGGCTGTGTTTAGATGGATAGCTAACCCTCTTCTCAATACCACGGAACTTACCTTAATACAGTTAACATTACCGTCCTAAAAAAATCTCTCCCTTGATTAAAACTGAGTTTCAGAGCTCTTTAAATCAGTGCTTAAGGCCAAAGCCTTGACATTTGTTGTTACACTGGGTGGACAGAAGAAGTAAGCAGGCTTAAAGCCTGGCCCAGTAGCATTTGTGAACCATGCTGTTCTCAAGTGAAAATCAGATCCAGGAATTAAACTTCCATAAAGATACTACGCTATCCATTCCATGCAGCTATTGTATCCAAACTCGCAGGTGACTAAACACATTACTTTACTTCCAGACATTTTTCTACAGGTATCTGTCTCTTTTCAGTGTGCATATGTTTAACTTGCAACTACTGACAAATATCTTCTCCTTATCCACTATTCAAAGCAGAATGTACCAAAGCAAAGACCATCAGCTTCCAAACCCTTTTTTCCCAGTCACATGTAAGATCCACAAGATCCAACATCACCTTGACATTCATTCTCATTAAAATTCACATACTAAGTTTTTGCTGAAAGTGACCATGGAGTTAAGATCACGCTGCCTTTAGATTTCTTAAACATGTGCTGGAGGCCCAGCACGCTCCTCAATGTTTTAATATTGCCAGTAATCTCCCAGAATTAATAGAAAAAATAGTCTAATGCATGTTAGAATTAATTGGGGAGAAGGATGACATTTCTGTTATTTATTTTTTTTTTTAAGTCTTCAGAACTTCAGCATCTTCACTGAGCTGGCTTTTTTCTCACTTCTGGGAAGAGACAGCACTGATTGATTGACTCGGTATGTCAGTACAGAACTGGTTTCACAAAAAAGTCTCATGTCATGTGGATTAGCTTAATGGACAGAAAGCGACATGGTATGTAGAATTTTAATCTACTTGAAAAGGGAAAGTGATTGAAGAAATGCTGTACAATATGTTCATATAGTCATACCCTACACTGACAAAATTAAGATGTCAGCGGTTAGATCAGAACAGCCTGTGGATGAAGAACGCCACTGACATTCAACCAAGAAAAGACTAAGATGAGCAGAAAAAAGCACTTCCATAAGTCTTTAACCATTGAGTTGTCATCTCTGGTGAAAAAAATAACTCTTCTATTCTCAACTAGTAGATTTCCATGTCATACTACTTTTCCCTTGACTTCTAATCAAGCAACTCATCATGTTCGGGGTGCTTTAATTTAAGCCTGACTTTTAAAAATAGCTTTTAAAACCTCGAGGAGGAGAATCACTGCTGACAACTTGTGCCTCCACCAGAGAACTTTAATGTTCCTGGTAAAAGATCACCTGTGCAGTACACAGAAAATTTTCCAGAGCTAGTTAAGAGTACAGAAAGGACTCCCACAGAAACGGCCTGCCATCATGAACCTCACCACCACTCATAGTGCTCTGAATTAGCTTACATCCTTTTCTCAGGCAAATAAATATACTTAATAGAGAAAAGAAAAATGCAAATGATGCAGTCAGCACTGAATTCTTCCAGTTCAAAACAAGTATTGTTATAACACTTAATATCTGAATTCAATAAATATTTTCCCATTTTAGGTATGTGGCAGAAACAGGCAGTTGGGCTTCTGTTACTTTAAGAAAACAGGCTTTATATTCCACTCCAGTTCATAGAGACTCTTCTTGATGGCCTTCATCATCTGAAAATATATGTACCTGAAAATCTACAGTTTTGTCAAGTCACACTTACTGTTATAGTCTTTAGTTTTTATCTTGTAAAAATGCACACAACTGCATGCAAAATGAAATTACTGCTTACTACTGGCTTTCATTTGAATACTTTAAATTCATTTCCCTTGAATTTATCACACTTAGCAATATATAATACAGTCAGTCCCCACAGAAATGAGTCTCCTCAATAACTGACTTCAGGTTGATGGTAATCAGAATTTTGATCACAAAAAAATCAATTTATTCAATTTTCTTTGTTCAAGGCACAATACAAAGACAAATCAGAACTCAGAACAAGCAATTCTTGGAAAATAACCTGGAGTGTTGCTTTTAAATTCCTATTACACAATTTCCATTGCAGCTAAACTAAAACCAGAACTGAACTGAAAAACTTAGTGGTTCTACTTGCTTAATACAACCTCCCTTTTTATTAAAATTCATTAAACTTTATAAAAATGCATTTAATTTCTGATTAGAAACTTGAAAACAATATCACAGTTGTAGTGAAAAAAAATGCACCTTCTCAGGAAGGTTTTGGCCTTCCCCTCCCCTTCCATAAAAAGTTGTTTGTCACCAACTTTGTCTAAATGAGCAACCCAGGCTTCAGAGATCAGCCTAGGATACACATTTCTCTCCAGTAAAAGAGTTTCCTATTAACCACTGCTATACTTAAATATTGATCTGGAAGCTTGAACATGTCTGGCTTCAACTTTTTAAAAAAGCACCAAGTTCCACTGGGTGCTGGCATTTATATTCATAGATTCCAGTCACACTCTGTGAGCAGCAATTAGAAGATATCCCTTGAGTAACAGCAATTCTAAAAATATTCTGTATGCATCATAGAAGATGAAGTACCAGTTTCCGCTAAAGTAATGTATGTTGTACATTCAAGTATAATTAGCACACTAGACTTCGTAAATAGTATTAAACTAATTACTGTTTGCACCACTAATGGCAGATGTGGTTAGAGATTATTAATTACAGTGGACAATTTCTTGAATTTAACATATCAAATACCAGGCAGTTTCTCCACTTTATTTCTTGCCTGAATGGCTATTTGCTGAGAGCCAGGAGGGCTCTTTTAAACTAGGAAGAAGTGTAACTTATGAAAATGAGAAAGTGAAGTAATAGATTTTATGATCTCAAAAAAAAAAAAAAAAAGCTGTTCATTGACAAGGATATAATTATTTTTTGATAATAAATTTCAATGTACACCTATTCTAAATCAGGGAAAGTATACTACAGAAGTGCTATGTGTCATAAATTTACAAGCTCTGGACAGGCAGGAAGTTTTTTGTCTAGCTACAGAAGATTAACCGATGTGTTCAGCTAGACTTAAAACAAACACCTACAACATTCAACATATGTCATGAAGCAAACTGTTCCACAGAAATTTAGAGACTTAAATAAAGCTCACCTACTGGTAGCCAGGGGTTACTTAAAAGAGAGTGGGATAGTCATTCCCTGGCTTCACTACAATGTTCTGCTGAATATCGGAGCAGGGGAGGAACGGTTGTAAAGGGGAGCTGTCTCCTTGGTGCTTTTTTTTCAGGGAAAAAAACATTAAAAAGTTTAAACAGCTAGATGAATTTTGTTTAATGTGCTAACACAAGGTATTGCAATTTCAGTAAATGTTGACAGACCCCCATAAAAAAAAAAGGTACATATTCCTGTCAATATTAGACACATTGATAACCCACAGAAGTAAAATGATAATTTTTACAAATTGAGGTGATACTAGAAACATACAGTCACAATACAGTGACTTACAGGTCAGCAAGCATGTAAGGAGATACCAATAGGTATTCACACCTCACCTACATTTACGTTTCTTTTCCAGAACATCCTTTGCCATATTAAATTGAACTGTTTAGTTCTGTACTATTTCCTCTCTGAGTATTAACTGGTTAAAATTATGTGCATAAAGACCGTTTTCTTGAATACCATTTTAATGTTTATTTTCATTAATGCTTACAAAGGTTAAATACCTATTTATATATTATAGTGAGTGCGCCCTTAACCTAGTTCCAATACAAACACATAATTTTCAGTTTGAATTAAGCGGTCACCTAGTAAAGTATGGCGGGTTATACTTTTGGTAGGAATTCAGGCACAAAAACGCACTGGTACAGGTTACAATGATTTGTCAATCGCCAGTTCAAGCATTTCAACCTACTGATCTGCTGACAACTATTCCACAACATAACTGTTTAGGCTTCAGCTATCTTAGCTAGCTCAAAGTAAATAATTTAATTAAAAACTTCAAGGAAAACAAATCTTACAAGCTTACAGTATGTGGGTTTGGTAACTAATGCAAGTTTTATTAAGAAACCTGTTATACTTAAAAAAAACCACCACAACTGCTATAAACTGTTTGTCACTCTTGATGATGATCTCACCAGGAAGAGTATTGATGGAATGGGTTCTCCAACCCTCAGAGGTGGTCTTTCCAAGCTATGTTATAGCGTAATAACAAATGCAGTGGTGAAATTTTCACTAATACATAGCAACATACTTGCTTTGAGGTGAAGAAAGACTTTTAGAATCAAGTGTTACATTTACACAAAAATCATTTTAAGAACTGCAGTTCCTAAACTTGAAGCCTTTCTCATTCTGCCTTTAACTTCCCAAAGTGAGCCTGAATGCCTTGCTGCATCTTTGAAAATTAAATCTTTCTATAAACAGTAAGGATTTTTCCTGTCAAACAGAACCACAATACATTTAAAGCCATAATGGAAACAGTTTCTAAATCTTCAAAACATTCTATTTATCAATGGAATTAGGCCAATTAGCCTGCAACTATTTAATTTGTTGTCAGACTTACGGTCAAGTGATGGATTGTCAACAAGACAGGATGCTGTGTTACTGCTTCAAAGGTTGATAAAGTAGTCTTAATCAATTCTTCTGATGCAGCTTGCCCTATTAGTAAAAATCATTGTATTTCTTTATAAAATGCAACAGTTATAATGCCTGCATATAAAAGTATGGCAATATCACAGGTTACCTTACCTATTGCTCTATCCAAGTTTGTTTCTCCTGAATCTATCGATCTGATAAAATTCTACAGAATAAGAGGCATTTATGTTAAAAAACTTTAGAAATAAAAATTAAGAAGCGTAATCACTGAATAATTACAACATGAAATTCTTTAAGGGACTGTGTAAATACAAAACATTAATGCAGCCACATTAGAAAACACTGTCATAAAAATTAATATATGAAAGACTGAAAGCATTCATGATCTAGCTGTTATAATTTTGCAAGTCTGTAATGCTGCTGGACACGTAAATACAGTAAGGACTATTACTCGACTAATGTCAGGAATTATAACATTTCCAGCCAAATAGACAGTAACTAAATATCTTTATTGTTAACAGAAAACTGTAATTTCTAAGATTTTGAACAACGTTGGCACGGCTATGTTAAAATAACTCATTAAAAAGACCGAAAACCCTCCAGAAAATGCAATTTTCTGTTATTTGTACCATCTATTTGATCTCCATGCATACTACACACACTATAGTTATGCTTGCACACAGAAGAACACACAAAGATGCATAACGTTCTATTAAAAATCACCTAAATTAGTCATCATTTTGAGGAACAGGGACAATGAAATATTAATAGTCTGGGTTAAGTAAATATTGTACAATTAGACCCACTATTCTTTCATCTTTTAATCTTGATTTCACTCTTTTCCTTTCACTTCTATGTGTTTATTCCATACAGGATGCAGAAGAAATGTTATTAACATTTGCTAAAGAAGGAATTATTCTCAGCAGAATTTATAGCACGCCTTTTTTTACTAATGCAGTATTTAAGCCACAGAGAATTTACTATGGATAAACATCCTTCTTTTCAATTTGCACACATATCTATATGATGCAAAACATTAAGAAAACGATGCTTGTTTTATATTTCACTATCAATTAAAACTTTGTTATATATTAAATTGGCAGAAGTGTCTACGTCTTATCTTTTTTATGTACTGGTTATCGTTTTCTCAGTATGTAAGAAACATCTGAAGGATTCTTCTCTAATTGTAGATACAGTTAGAAACTATTATATATTTCGCAATTTAACCACATGTCAGAGGCAGTCATAAACCCAACTGCTTCTATAAAAAAAGTTACTTTATCTTCCTGATCATTTAAAGAAAATTACTAGTTATTATCTAATTAAGTTGTCTTGGAAGAATAAATTATTTTGTTTGCTCATTTAAGACAGTTTCACACCTCACCACAGTCTCAAGACCAATTTGGAAAAATCAGTACAGTTGGTGCAAAAATTGTTCTGTCTACTAATGTTTATTTCCTTAATTTTATATTAGAAACATAAGAAGATTATATATTTATACAAAAACTCAAATATCTGGGTTTTTTTAAGCAACGGAGAGGAACGGTGTGCATATTTCACTACAGGTGAGTCTGTGCCCTATGCACTCCACTAGGAACCTACCATTAGCTGTGCCTTTGGGGGAAAGCGTGTCCTCCATGTATTTCTATTCACAGCTGAAAACATGAAAGGACTGTCCTGACTCCCTCTCAATTTCTTTGCACAACAGTACTGAAAATTACAGTGATGATGGAAATAACTTCAAAGCAGCAAAAAAAAAAAAAAATTGTCAATGAACAACAGTTACAGGAAAAAAAATACTCTCCCTTCGAGATAGCAAGCACACATCTTTCCACTCCTAATCATTTCTTATTGTTAAGAGTAAGATTTTTGAATAAATCAGAAGAAAAATTAAAAAATACACACATAAGAAAAAAAAAACAAAACCTGAAAGACTGACTTGCTAAAGTCTTAGAGGACTCAATTATAGCACAGTACTTTTTCAAAAGTACAAGCTGATGATTGAATGTCCCTTTATCAACGTCATTGGGAATGTTGCTAAACACAAAATTCCAGAGTAGACTGTTTGCTGATAGAAAGGACAGTTACTCTTCCAGAAGTAATTACATTAGTCATATCATAACACAGTTATATAAAATGGATTCAAATTTGATATTCATTTTTCAGATATACTACTTCCCCTCCCCTTTCTTATACATAAATTGAAATAGTTTTATAAGTTCCTGAATTGTCTTGTTCCATGGAGACAGAAGCACAAGATGCAGGAAATATTGAGTAATCTTCTCCTCCTTGATCTAAGAGGAAAGCTGTGATAGTGTAACTAGTCTGACTTCCTTAGTCAGTAGTTCAAGCAAGCTGGAGTAATATCAAAACAGAATTTACATTGTACCTGATCTGCTGTACCTATATTGTTGACAGAAGAATTTCACCTTCTAGAAGGTTGATCCAAAACCATTAATAAATCTACTGCCTAGTTACAAATGCTTCAAAGAGATACAAGGCTTTGTAATTCAACATCTAGAGTTTTAATTTTTTTTTCTTCATTCTAATGCTAGTTTTCATACAAATATTTTAGTAGAGCTAAATTAAACCCACATTTTCTTGGAATCGAGTCAAAGGGCAAAAAGAAAGGAATCTGAAGAGTAAACTTTAATCTAGCTGTTTGTGGTGAAGTGTATCTTCATGCTATTGTGGAAGCAAATACCTAGGCGTCATTTATGAACCCGAGCACTTAAAAGTATTTGCTTAACTCTGATACACAACTTTAGAATATGCTTTTTTTCTCTTTTAGCAGAAACAATTGTTTTCTTATGAAGAAACTGCATTACAACAATACTACTTCATTTTTGCTATACTATTCTATGGCACAGTTAAACTGTTCATTTTCTATTGCTAATGTCATAAATAGGTTGTAGGTATTAACATGAAACAAGTATCTTCGCTCTGTAGCTTATAATACTCAGCTTTTCATCAACTACACACAGTGTAAAAGTATTGACAAGAAGAAAAAGGTGATAAAAGAAAAGAATACCTTAAATATAGACCGGATTATAATTTCTTTCATTTCTACTCGTAAAATACTAGCATAAAATTCTAGAAAGAAAATTTTGTGTAATTTAGAGCTAAACTTTCCTACTCTAAAACAAAGCATGCAGGAAATTCTCAGTTAATCAGGCATGTGCAGTTTCTCTCTACTTCAATACAGAATAGCATATTTTCCCCTTGACCCAATACATTACTACAGAAAATATTTTCTGATAATATACACAGTTTTGAATATAAACAAAGTTTAAATTTTATATTCCAAACAAAAATATATCTCCAATTTATAAACATAATGTAGTTTTATTATACTAAAATAATTCCCAAAATTTTATGTGTATATATATTCTGTAAACAAGATTTGACTTAGACGATTATACTCACAAGTAAGGTCCCATAGTTGAAAAGAAACTCCTCTGTGACTATCTGGGCACGAAATACCTATTTGAATTTAGCAAACATTAAAAAAATTACATTAAATGTATATCTTACGATCAGAAAAAGTAAAACACATTTCACAGCCATGTTAAAAAAAAGAAGATATGTATTTACTTCTATCATTAGAGTTGTCTTATAAAGTGCAAAGATAAGGCTTACATCTTTAATGCTGTTACACAGCTGGAACACTCATCAACATTAATAAAAGATCTATTTTATCCACTCGGATCATGATCAGCAGAAATTACATCTTGGGAAACCGCAAGAGTTTGTCCTTTGTTAAACAATTTTCGGGGGGGGAAAAAAAAACATAACAACAAACTACCTGGGATGTCACAAGACGAAGCACTACAGACATCATAGGAAGGCACATCTTCAGCTGTTTGGACTGAACCGTTGAGGGGTGTTTACGTCCAGAGACATTAGTTAGGGCAGTGAGAATGTCACCTACAGAAAACAACATTTCAGACTGATCTAACATAATTGCTTTACTAAAAAACAGCAAACAACATATAAAACATTTCTGTTCCAGTATCTTCTGTTCAATCCCATCTTCTCCCTCCTGGTGAAAGTAGTGTTCATGTACATTGCATGATAAATCAGGCTGATCCAGCACTTTTCTTTCCTAGCTCAATGTTTATCTAGGCCAATTTCCTGCTCTCGCTATGGTGACAGGCGTGCAAATGTGACCTCTGGCAAAACAGTGAGGACAGAAATACAAGGCAGGTGTAGAAGCAAAGATGAAATTACCTCTCTTGGGAGGGTGGACTTATACTGGCTGTAGGTGGCCACATATGCATGAAATTATACTCCTGAAATTCTGTGGATGCAATTCTACTTCCAGTGAAATAAAAAGCAAAATTCTCATGACTTCCAGCTGACCAAGAGTTAAATTCACCATGATCAGCGGGTGACATAATGATCAAGCACCATAGTACCACTGGAAGAAAGAAGAAAACATCCTCCCCACCTTCCAAAAAAATCCCTCCACCAGTCATGCACACAAATACTCTCATACAAAAGTTTAACCACGACGTAAGTGACCTAAAGCAACAGTAATTCTCATATTCGCACAGAGGAGGTAGTAGCAGGTCAATGAGAGAACTTAGTTGCCTCCATAACAAACCTCAGGTGCAATAATGAGGGAATGACATTCTAATTGCAATAGTGAAAACTTCAGACTTCAGAAGTGACATATAGAATAGAATCACAGAATCACTTACATTGGAAAAGACCTTTAAGATCAAGTCCAGCTGTAAACCTAACGCTGCCAAGTCCCACTAAACCATGTCCCTAAGCACTATGTCTACAAGTCTTTCAAATCCCTCCAGGGATAGTGACTCAACCACTTCCCTGGGCAGCCTGTTCCAAAAAAAATCAAGGAACATTATGCAGAATTTGTTCAGTTTGTATTAATTACGGTGTTAACTGTTTGTTCATATTAACTATTGTTTCAGAAAAGCAAGAACCTTTCTGCATGGGATAAAGAACAGAAGCAGCAGGAGAAAAGTCACAGTTCACAGGCAAAGAATGAAAAATCTGTCCCTATAGCCTGAAAATATTAAAAGCCAAGTCCTGTCTTCAGAGAACACTAACGGTATTTCTTT